CCAAGTAACATCATACCATGTACTGTCCAGACATCTAAACCACGTAATATTCAAACTGTGTGGCGTCCAAACATCGAAACAATCAAACCAAGTAACATCATACCATGTACTGTCCAGACATCTAAACCACGTAATCTCCAAACTGTGTTACGTCCAAACATCAAAACAATCAAACCAAGTAACATCATACCATGTACTGTCCAGACATCTAAACTACGTAATCTCCAAACTGTGTAGCGTTCAAACATCAAAACCATGTAAAATCCAAACACCCAAATCATGTAACATCTAAATCATATAGCGTCAAAACATCCAAACCATGTTGCGACCAAATATTTAAATCATGTAGCATCCAAACATCCAAACAATCAAACCAGGTAGCGTCCAAACATCAAACCACTAAACCATGTAATGTACAAACATACAAACTATGTAATATACAAACATCTAAACAATGTAGTATCCAAACATTCAAACCATATTACGTCTAAACCATGTAGTGTCGAAACATTTAAAGTATGTAGCATCCAAACATCCAAATAATGAAACCCTGGAGCATCCCAAAATCTAAACCAAGTAGTGTCCAAACATCCAAGCCGTGTAGAGAACATCCAAACCGTGTAGACTGTAGAGCATCGAAACTTCCAAACCATGTAGCATCCAAAGTACGAACCGTGTAGCGACCAATCATCAAAAACCCTGTAGCGTACAAAATCTAAATCAGGTAGCGTCAAAACATCCAAACCAACAAACCATGTAGCATCCAAACATTTAAAACAAATGTTTGAGGCCAACTTCTAAATGTTTATAATACATGAAATATTTTATAAGAAAGTAAAAAAAAACAAGAGAGAGATTCTAAATCAAATGTTTGAGGCACAACTTCTAAATGTTTATAATACATAAAATATTTTATAAGAAAGTAAAAAAACAAACAAGAGATTTTAAATCAAATGTTTGAGGCTCTATGTCATTTAGACTTAAATTTTTTGCAAGCAACTCTGTAGAAATGTGTTATATAAAACTAATTAAACTTTAAATGACATCTTAGGTAACCGTTGTGTTATCAGATCAATGTCGACGAGATCAGTTTGTATGTTATGTATAAGGTAATAATTTCAGAGTATTTCTTAACGCTTTAGTATGCTTCAAGCACTGTTCCTTTTCTTACTTAACAGATGGCGTCAATCGGATGGTGGTACTTTGCAACAAGATTTGTAGAATTCGCTGATACGGTAGGTAGCAATACAAAACTTAAATTGGTAAACGTTTTGTAACAGAAGTGACAAGCACATGGCTTTTCTTGCCTGTTTTGTTTAGAATTGCTCATTTGAATTACGAAATTTGCTGTTTTTGTGGGAATTTGATTTCACCTTTTTGGGAAGATTCTATAGTATTAGGCGATGCTCACAGAAAACACGAAAGACAAGTATTTATTTTACCTTGAAGTCTGTGTTGTTTTTAAAATATTGCTATTAACAGGTTGTCTTAGTGCGACATAGTTGTTTTAAGGAATCTTCTAGAAAATAAAACTTTCCTCGTTCAAGATTTTCACGATTTCCTGTTAATTTAACTGGTAACCTAATACTAATATGAAAGTCACGAAGAGGGATTTTGGCGACTCATTAATGGACAATATTAACATTACAAAATTAACAATAATTATAGTTCTTTAAGTAACAAAATCAGCAATTTTCAAAAATTATTTATTATTTCAAATATATATTGTGAACAAAGTAGTTATATAGTTATGTATTACTTACTTATCAAATACACGATACTGTTCTACACGGAGTGTTCATGTAGTTATATATATATAGCTTACTGAACAAGAAGACATGACATCGTTCTACACGAAGGGTTCAGGTCGTTATATATAACTTACTGAATAAGAAGACATGACACTGTTCTATTCGAACTGTTCAAACCGTTATATATAACTTACTGAACAAGAAGACATGATACTGTTCTATTCGAACTGTTCAAACCGTTATATATAACTTACTGAACAAGAAGACATGATACTGTTCTATTCGAACTGTTCAAACCGTTATATATAACTTACCGAACAAGAAGACATGACACTGTTCTATTCGAACTGTTCAAATCGTTATATATAACTTACCGAACAAGAAGACATGACACTGTTCTTTCGAACTGTTCAAACCGTTATATATAACTTACTGAACAAGAAGACATGATACTGTTCTACACGGAGTGTTCATGTAGTTATATATATAGCTTACTGAACAAGAAGACATGACATCGTTCTACACGGAGTGTTCAGGCCGTTATATATAACTTACTGAGCAAGAAGACATGATACTGTGCGGCGCATATAACTTTTGTATACTTCCTATATTTCTGTACAAACGCTAACGTCTTACACACCTTTTGTATACGTTGTATTATTGTACAAACACCACCGCCTTACATACCCTTAGTATACGTTGTATTATTGTACAAACACCACCGCCTTACATACCCTTAGTATACGTTGTATTATTGTACAAACACCATCACCTTACATACCCTTAGTATACGTTGTATTATTGTACAAACACCACCGCCTTACATACCCTTAGTATACGTTGTATTATTGTACATACACAGAAAATTCACACTGAACGTGTTGTGATTTTTATATTTTTCTGTCTAAGACACGAGACAACGTTCTGGTTATTACAGAAAATTCACACTGAACGTGTTGTGATTTTTATATTCTACTTGCAGTTTAAGTCACGAGCCAACGCTATGTTATTACAGATAATTCTATGCAGCAAATTCCACTCCGAAAAGCTGCTGATAAGGTCGTGATGTATCACGTGCAAGGGAGTACAAAATAAAATGTAACCTACCAGCAGCAAATTTAACTCCACTCCAAACACTTACTGGCACGAGGCCGTGGTGTATCACGTGCAAGGGAGAGATCTGATTGAATTTCTTTCTCAGTACGAAGAAAACCTATCAAAACAACAAAAGTTATACTTCTTACTCACTTTATATATCTATAGAAAAATATAAGGTATTTATACGATTAGAAGGTGAAGAGTGTCAAATAAATGTATCAAGATATTTTTAGAATTTATAAGAAGAGTCTACAAATGACACACAAGACTGTCGTAATAACCAGAAGGTTGTCTCGTGTCTTAGACAGAAAAATATAAAAACCACTACACGTTCAGTGTGAATTTTCTGTAATAACCAGAACGTTGTCTTGTGTCTTAGACAGCAAAAAATAAAAATCAATACACGTTTAGTGGGAATTTTCTGTAATAACCAGAACGTTGTCTTGTGTGTTAGACAGAAAAATATAAAAATCACTACACGTTCAGTGTGAATTTTCTGTAATAACCAGAACGTTGTCTCGTGTCTTAGACAGAAAAATATAAAAATCACAACACGTTTAGTGAGAATTTTCTGTAATAACCAGAATGTAGTTGGCTCGTGAGTGAGACAGCACCATACTCTAAACATATAAAAGTGTTGACACTTCCCTGTACTTGAGAAATGCATGAACGATAGCCATTAAAACCCCTAGAAGCAGAGTTAGTCTTCTGTAGAAAACGGTGAGTAGACTGTACTGTCTTGTCCAACGTGAAAATAAGAGAGCGAAGTTCATTTCCTGCCAAAACTACTAGTGAAAACAAATAACAGTACATTTCACACAAAATAGTACACTCTTGTGGGCTAGAAGAATATGCAAATGTATTCGAATGTTGGAATTTTGAAAGAAAAAATAATTAATCCTAATGCAGAAGTGAGGATAATAATATGAATATTAACAACTCTGTTGAATAAACAATCATTTCTATAAGCAGCTTATTCCCAGAGATAACGTCATACAATGATGTAGCTTTCGAAAGTTAGTTTCGTCCTTTAAGTACATTTGACAATGAATTATTGTTTTAAGTTGAAATTACTTAGCACTAATCAGCTAATAACATAGAAACATAGTGGAGTTTATATAAAAATGATCAGTAAAAAAAAACATTCTCTTAAAGATATGTCAACTGTATTAATAATGAAAAACTTATTTCTACGAACTTAATATTTTTTTAGTTTAACCCAATTAATGAAACAATTTAATAGAAAATTGACTAAAGCTTTACCCTCGTTTTATATCTCAGGTAATTTTCCAGTTTTCATTACTAGGTCAGGCTGAACTATAGAACCTGTTACAATTAACATGTTGAAAAGCTTTCCATTAATGTAGAACAATGGTAACTGTAGAACCAGTAACAACTACCATGTTGAAAAGCTTTCCGTTAATGTAGAACAATAATAATTGTAGAATC